GCTCGATAAGCAGGCGCTCTCTGAGCTGGGTTCCGCCCTCGGGACTGAGGGCGATATGTGTTTGGTGGGCATCTTAGTGTCTGCCTCCGAATTCTCCGAAGGACCCCGGCTCTGTTGATGGGGTGAAGGGAAAGATCTCCCCAAGAATGCAGTCTCTTTCGTTATGAGGGATGTTTTATCATCTTTCCTGATCCTCCTCTGGAAGAGATTAGATGCCAGGTGTCATTTGGGATTTCAGTAGTTTCCCTACCTGTGGTGGATTTTCTCCATTTTGATTTCCTCATTAGAGTTATAATGAAATTGAGGGAGCCGTTTTAGACTTCTCTGTGTGCTTTTTCAAGGATGTTGTAGCTCTGCTCAGCATGGGAAAGTTTTCAGGCAAAGGACTGTGGCTCGCTGTATTTGTCAGAAAGGGAAAGTCCTTTCGTATTTCTGCATTGCTGAATCATGCTATAGATTTCCATTTCTCGCTTTTGGATGGGCTTTCAGCATTTGTATCATCATCATTGACAGCCTCAGGAATGAACTGTAAACTTTCTGTCGAAGGACCCAAAATTCTCCTCGACTTTAGGTAACATTGTAATGTTGTGCTATGCTCATGAGGTCCAAATTGTGGATCAGTTCCATCAGAGGTAAAAAACTTGAAGGGTCAATTAAAGAGAGTCTGCTGAACACAGTTTATTACATCGTCTGTATGTTTTTTGTGAGGCTCTTGTTAATGGCAACAGGTGTTGATTTCTACTCCTGACCACTGAAGTAGCGTGACACACTGGGTAGCTTTGATGTTCTTTCAATATTTGCATCAGCAGCCACACTCTTACAAAGGAAATAAACCCTCATAACTAACCCATAAATCCAAATTGTCCTACAAAACCAATCTGTTACACTGGGAGGCTTGACAACATTTTTGTTGTTCTGTCAAAGAACAATGAATTCCACTGCAATTTAGAGCTGTTATCACCTTTTGAACATTTCAAGTGTGCTGCACACTGTATGATACAATTGGCATGTAGTTTTATTTAAAGTGGTCTCATTTTTTGGAAGGGTGTCCAAATGCTGGAGTGAGCTCTGATTTTTGGAATAAAACAAGCATGTCAAGGAGGTGAGTGTGGCAGTGGCCTTGAGTAGGGCCTGGACACTTGATAGGGGTGACCTTGAGTAGTGGGAAGACTTGTCTGAATTGGAAGTCTTCGGGAGGATCATGGGCCATGTAGCAAGGTAGTAATGGAGATGACATACTTGTCCTGAGAGCACATCTCTCAAACTGGGGAGAAGACCAGGGTAAAGCATGAAGCAGGAAAGGCACAGCCTATTCCAGTCCAGGATCCTTTCCCAGGATCCAGACAGTTTGGACTTGGAGGCCTTCTGGATCTTAAGATAATATGTGATACTGAAATGTCAATCTTTTGATTTTGAGAATCTTTCACCAGGGATAGTTCCTTTTGCTGTTGCTGGCTGATGTAAGAAACGTGGGTTAAGAGCTGGTGAGATGCTGACTGCTAAATAGTGTCTGATGAATCTTTTTGATCCTGCTTTGGGAAAGTTGTTGTAGGAAGCTAATGTTTCAGCCTGCTGTCCTTGTATAGTGGTGGGCATCTACAGCATTTCCACAGGCATTCATGTTGCTATGGTGGTTTGTTGGTCCTGCTGAGGCAGGATTTCTCAGGAAATGTGGCTGTAATCTCTGTGTGCTTGACTTCCTCTCCTTGTGTACCTGCATCATCAGCTTTGGTAGAGATGATGTATCCTGTTGTCAAGCGTGGCTCATTTTGATGTCTGGATATACATGCCCAGCTTTGGTTTTCCAGCATTTAATGTGGTTCTCTTGAAGAATAAGATCCTTGTGATCTGGGATCAGAGGTATCAGAGCTCTAATCCAAACATTTTTAATAACTCAATTTCAAATGGAACTTTACTATGCGGAAAAGGTATCACTCCATATGTTGTGGTGCCAATCCTGAGGGAAGGTATGTGCAAAGACCTGGGTCATGATCTGAGGGGGGTTTAGAGCTGAGACATGTCCTTATGGTGCAGCAACCTTTGAGTATTGTGGCAGTGATGACATTGAGTAGGGCCTGTGTCTCCATCATTGGAAGCATGACTTTGAGCAGGGTAGAGCTTTCCCTTAAGGAAATGGAGATGCTGGGGAGAAGGCAGTCTGTGTCATTGAGGAAGAACTGAAAATGTCTGCTTAGCTGTGGAGGTCACATTTCCCATGGCATGGGATAGAGGATGCCAATAGATAACCTGAAGTTCTCTGCCTTGCAGAGCTGCTCTCCTGGGATCCTCTCAGGGCCTCCAGAAGTTCTACATATCTTTGCAGCCTGGTGTCTTCAGTGCTTCTGAAGATAACTGCTGTACAAAAATCATTTGTTTTTGACATGGAGTGTCATTGATTAAAAAATAAGATCTTTACAAAATTTGTATCAGATTTCTGTTCTTAGTTTTGTGAGGGAGGGGAAGAAGTGCTCTTTGTAATCAAGTTGTCAGCAAGCTTTCTCTTGCAGTAGATAGGATGTGTTCCTTCTGTTTTCTTTATAATGGAAAGGGCTATCCCTTGTTTTGTTTGTGGTTTTTTTTTTTGTCATATTGGCAATGTGTTGGAAACGGGATGAGATAGAGATTGTGGAATTTTGGCACCTGTCAGGTGCCTGGCTTTTGGGGAATATTCATGAGTGTGTGGGAAGGTTTTTCCACTCTCCTGAGCTGAGGATGTCGCTAAGAGAATGTCACTAACTTTCAGGTTTCCCTCCTGCTTCCTATTTGATAGAGATGCGTGAGGGAGCACCATACAATGTTAAGTATTTTCAAAGCTTCTGGAGAACATGAATAATTTTTTCTGTCCAGCATCCCCTGAGATTGCAGATAATGTTAAGGGACAAAGTGTCAAAACCGATTCTGCTGTACTGAAAGTGTTTCTTTTTCTGAAGATGCCAGTGATGCTAGAGGTAAGTCATTATAGAGAATGTGTTTGAGAGGCTGATGTACTTCTGTTGTCATTTAGTTGTGGTTCTTCCTGTTGTATCGATGAGTGTTGCCTGGATTGAAATGCCTGTAGATTTAGAGAAAAAAGCACCACTACCTGTCCTCGTTCCCTTCCTGCTGCTGCATGTCAGAGGTTAAGAAGGTGGAAGCAAAGACAGATGGAGTGATCTTGATGCGTTCTTTGGATTGGATGCATTGGGCACTAAGGGGATGTTCTCGGTGAAAACGCTGTGGTGTTACCTTGGCTTTAATTTGGGTGTGTGATGACTGAATCATGCTAATGACTGGGAGCTATGTATGGCACGGGGACTAAGGCCCTGGGAATGGAGGTTCTTGCTGTGTTGTTCTAGCAGAGCCTTGCTGCCTGAAAAAAAAGAGTGATCCTCAAGTTCATTCTGCAGGTGGATGATGAGGGTGGAATAATGGGTGTTTTTCGAGGTACCTGGAGAGCACTCAGGAGTTGTGGTTCACCCATGTTTTCTGAGCTTTTGTGAAGGGTTGTGTTGCTGAACTGTGACGGGTTTGATTTTCTGAACAAGTTTCCCCTGAGTAGTTTGGAGCCTTTGGGGTCTGTTTCATTACAGGTTCCAGTACCTGGTCTTCTGTTACAAAGGGTGATGGATTGTTCTGCTGTAACAGAGCTGTTCTTTGCCATTTGATTGCCTTTCTCTGTTATTTGCTGGGTGCTGGAGAGGACTGAGGGCTGGAGAGTTTGGCCTTCATTGTGAAGAGAGGGGAAGTTGAAGATGCATGGATGGGATGAAAGCAGGAAGGCTCTTCTGTGACCAGAGGAATGGAAGGTGGTATGGAAGACGAATGAGAGCTCTTACCAAAGGGCATGTCAGTGGTTCATAGCAACCATGGTGGAACTATTTTAAGAACAATTTGGTAATGGACAAAAAGAACACGAAGAAACAAGAATGGAAGCAGAAGAGAAATGGAACAAAAGAGAGCACAGCATGGCAAGAAATAAAAAAGAGGACTAGCAAAAGAAATGTAGGAAAGGAAGGACTCGGTGGGAGAAAAAAAAAAGGATGATATGATTGAAGATATTACCAGCTTGCTCTAATGTTATCTGGAAATGCTAAATGGAGTTGAGGAACTCAGCATCTTTGGTACTCATGGACACTCTGCAAGGCTTGATGAAGTGTGCTGAGGAAGACGAAAAAGGGTTCATGCTAAAGGGCCTGTCCATTCTTCCTTGTGAACGAGCTGTGTGCTTTGGGAATGTTTATTAAAGGAAGTAAAGAACAGAAGAGACAAAGATGAAAGTGGAAAAGGAGTGTAGGAAACATAGGCAAGGGAAGAGAATGGAAAAGAAATAATTAAGAATATGAAGAGAGAAACGAGAGGAGAGAAAGAGTAGCAGAAGGAAATGAAAAAAGGAAGGAGAAAGGAAGGAGGGAAGAGATGATGACGAGTTCTCACCGAGGTCACTTCTGGTCGGGGAGCAGAACAGTTCTGTAGCTGCTCCTCCCGTGGGCAGAGCACCGCGCTCGGCCGCTGCTGCCCCCTCATTAGCGGGAATGTGTCCGTCTATGATGGTGTCCGCCGCGGCGCCGGAGCTGACTGGGAGATGTCACCGAGAGGAGAGGTACTGGGGAGAAGTGACGGGAAAAGGGCGTAAAGAGCAAGATAGGGCTGGGTAAGAATGAAAAGGGAGAATGGAGAACAGATAAAACATTGAGAATGTGAATAAGGGAAAAATCAGGCGAAGAAAGAGGAAGAAGGAAAGGAATGTACGCAAGCAAAAAACACGGAATAAGGAAAACAAGGAAACAACGGAAAGAAGATGAGGCGAGCGAGAGGAGCTGTCCGGATCCGGAGGATTGGGACTGTCAGAAAGCGTCTGAGGCGCTGGAGCAGCACACGGTGTCGCTGCAGGCTCAGAAACGGCGTGTCGGCGGCTCCGCCTCAGTGAGAGAGGCGGAAAGCCCGGCTGTGAGCGCGGGGAGGGGGCGCGCGGGCCGAGCAGGAGAGCCGGCGCATCCAGGCGTCGGCGGGGAACAGTGCGGGGCCCGGGTCAATGCCGAAGGCTGCGATGGCCATGAAAATGGGCGTGTGTGATGGTGCCTTGGTGGTGGTGCTGCAGTTGGCCTGGGCGCTGGTCGGCGGGCAGGTGCGGTACTCGGTGCCGGAGGAAGCCAAGGCCGGCACGGTGGTGGGCCGGCTGGCGCAGGACCTGGGCCTGGAGGCGGGCGAGCCGGAGGCGCGGCGGCTGCGGCTGGTGTCGCAGGGCCGGCGGGCGAGCGTGGAGGTGAGCGGGGCGAGCGGGGCGCTGGTGGTGAGCTCGCGGCTGGACCGGGAGGAGCTGTGTGGGAAGAGCGCGCCGTGCTCCCTGCGGCTGGAGGTGCTGGTGGAGCGGCCGCTGCGCGTCTTCCATGTGGAGCTGGAGGTCACCGACATCAACGACAACGCCCCGGTCTTCCCCGCTGCCCGGAAAAACCTCAGCATCGCTGAGATGTCTTTGCCGGGTTCTCGTTTCCCACTGGAGGGCGCGTCGGATGCAGATGTCGGACCTAACGCTCAGCTCTCCTATAGCCTCATCCCCAGCGAGCATTTCGCTTTGGATTTACAAAAAAACGAGGAGGAGGGTGAGTCGTTATTCCTAGTGCTTAGGAAACCTCTGGACCGCGAGACGATGCCGATTCACCGTTTGGTGCTAACTGCAAGCGACGGGGGCCGTCCGCCACTGACGGGCACGATGGAGCTGGTGATCTCGGTGCTGGACGCCAACGACAACGCTCCCCAGTTCAACCAATCGGTATATAAAGTGCAGCTGCCGGAAAATTCTGAAAGCGGTACTATAGTGTACAGAGTAACAGCCACGGATTTGGATGAGGGGACAAACAGGGATGTCTCGTACTCTCTGCAGAGCCTGTTCCCTCAGGATGGAAGAGACGTTTTCGGGATCGACAGAAATAGCGGAGAGATTCGACTCCAGGGAGACATAGACTTTGAGGATATTGGTGTCTATCGCCTGCAAGTGGATGCGGCAGATCAGGGGAGCCCACCTCTGTCTGGACACTGCAAAGTTGTGGTGGAGGTGCTGGACGTGAACGACAACGCGCCGGACGTGGTTGTGACGTCGCTGTCGGTGCCGGTGCCGGAGGACGCGGCAGTGGGGACGGTGGTGGCTCTGCTGAGCGTGTCGGACCGAGATTCGGGAGCGAACGGACGCGTGCGCTGCACGGTGTGGCCGCCGGCGCCGTTCGGTCTGGTGTCGACATTCGCGGGCTCGTACTCCCTGGTGCTGCGGGAGGCGCTGGACAGGGAGCGGGTGTCTGAGTACGAATTAGAAGTGCGAGCGGAGGACGGCGGGGCGCCGCCGCTGCGCGCCAGTCGCGATCTGCGTGTGCCGGTGTCGGACGTGAACGACAACGCGCCGGCGTTCGCACAGGCCGTGTACACGGTGCTGGCGCGGGAGAACAACGCTGCGGGCGCGGAGCTGGCGCGGCTGTGGGCGCGGGACCCGGACGAGGCGGGCAACGGGCGCGTGAGCTACTCGGTGGCGGAGAGCGGCGTCGGGGCCGCGGTGTCGGGCGTCGGGTGGCGTCCGGCGTCGAGCTACGTGTCGGTGGACGCGGAGAGCGGTCGGCTGTGGGCGCTGCAGCCGCTGGACTACGAGGAGCTGCAGGTGCTGCAGTTCGAGGTGCGGGCGGTGGACGCGGGGGAGCCGGCGCTGTGCGGCAACACCACGGTGCAGCTCTTCGTGCTGGACGAGAACGACAACGCGCCGGTGCTGCTGCCGCCTGCCGGGGGCGGGCCGGGCGTCGGGGCCGCGGGCTCGGCGGCGTCGGGTGCGGACTCTTTGGCGCTGTGGGCGTGGGCGTCGTGGGGGGCGCCGGCGGGGCAGGTGTTGGCGAAGATCCGCGCGGTGGACGCGGACTCGGGCTACAACGCGTGGCTGCGCTACGAGCTGTGGGAGCCGCGGGGCAAGGGCCCGTTCCGCGTGGGGCTTTACAGCGGCGAGGTGAGCACGACGCGGGCGCTGGAGGAGGCGGACGGCCCTCTGCAGCGCCTGGTGATCGTGGTGCGGGACCACGGCGAGCCTGCGCGCTCGGCCACGGCCACGCTGAGCGTGTCGCTGGTGGAGGGCGCCGAGGCGGCGCTGGTAGCCACGAGCTCGGGCTCGTTGGGGGCGGGGCTCCGGCCGGCGCAGAGCGGCGCATTGGCTGCGGCATCTGCGGCGACGACGACGAACGTGTGGCTGGTGGTGGCCATCTGCGTGGTGTCGAGCCTGTTCTTGCTGGCGGTGGTGCTGTATGGGGCGGCGAGGTGGGCTCCGCGGTCGGCCGTGCTGTCGGGTCCCGGTCCTGCCACGCTCGTGTGCGCCAGCGAAGTGGGGAGCTGGTCGTACTCGCAGCGCCAGAGCCGGAGCCTGTGCGTGACGGACGGTGCGGGCAAGAGCGACCTGATGGTTTTCAGCCCCAACTTCCCTCCACCGCCCTGCCCCTCGGTAGGGAACGGTTCTGCTGGGAAGGGGCCGTCTGTCTCCCCGGTTGCTTCTGCCGCGGTAAGTGTATTCACAAAAGCTTTTTCTCTCAATTGAGTATTGTTTCCTCGTGAATTAGGAGATTGAGGTCATAATTTGCGTTGAAAGGGTGTGTGGAAAGATACAGTCTAAATCCATCGTGAAAGGTGGACATCTCGATGTTGGCTGCATTTTGTTGTAGTGTGTTCTAATCTAGGTGTTTCATGGTTTTGCTTATTAATTGTTGTTGGTGACCCCGGGAGTCGCGGGAGACAAGCCTCATGCTATCATGGTCAGCAAGTCTCGTTTATTTAGCGTGATACACTCATTTTTATAGCCCGCGGTGTTAGGTACATTGTCTGCCAGGATACAGCAAAATCATTGGTTAATCGGTATTGACGCAGGGGTCTCTAGGTAACTGTAACCACTTCTTGTTTCAACTTATTTTGACATATCCCAGCTTGCTCAAGCATTATCATTGCGCTTATCTCAACAAGATGTACATCCTGTTTCTTGAGCAACTCAGAATAAGCATCAACCACAAGATAATTGCGGCCTTGAGGCGCAGCCCTGAGGCCTATCTTTCCACCAGCTGCACAGTATCATGACCCCTGTTACTTAGCCATTCTGCTGTTAAGCTCTCTACACTTCCCCCGTTTTCTTTAGTAGCAAGCATAGCCATGTTATGATTAAAAGCATTCGATATCATTTTTTGCAAACACTGCATAATACATGGTAAAAGCAAAATTGCAAGCAAAACTATAGCCAACACCAAAACAATTTTTTCTATCAAAGTGATTAACCAGGGAGATAATCCAAAGGACGCTAACCAGTTTGTGAAAGGATCATTTGTCTCTTGTAATTTTCGCATATTGTCTTTTAACAGTGCCAATTGTTTATGAATGGAATTAGAGTGATCAGAAAGATTCATGCAGCACATGCCTTCAAATTCATCGCACCCATGACCTTGTGCAAGGAGTAAAAAATCTATAGCAGCTCGATTTTGGAGAACTGCATGTCTGACTCCTTCTAAGTCTGTGGCCAGATCTGACAAAATACTTGTTGTGATGTTTATTTGTTTCCCTGTCCAGCAAGCCAATTTTCTCAATTGGGTGAGAGCTTGGGCAGATGCTACACCAGGAGCGAAAATACTGGCTAGAATAACCTCGGGAGGGTCCCAAAGTGTGACAGTATCGTGACAGTCTGAGCCCAACTGTGTGGTTGCCCTTTTGTGGCGTATACGAGTATGGTTGGCCTTAAGAACTGTCATGATATCAGGTGCAAACATTGTTAAATGGCCTATATAACAGGGTCCTCCTACCGGACTTCTAGGAACTCCTTGCCATGCTCTATCACCGCAGATAAGAAAATATCCATCAGGTAGATAACCTGTATGAGAAGTTATGACAGTTTCATGGGTAATGTGTCGGCAATATGCAGTTTCATTATATGGTCTATATGACGAGACGTTTACTGGGCGATCCTGGAGTTTATGAGGGTTAAATTCAAGGCAATAATTTGCAGGTGCAGAGCCAAGTAAGTTAATTTCTTGGATTTCAGAAACATTCTTATAACAAAAGGGGTTGAAGGAATAATTAGTTGGGACCCCTACCAAACAAGTTCTAAAAGGATCAGAAGCTTTAGCAAGAGCAAGACATAAACTACTTTGATTAACCTTTTCAGCCCATGTGACCCACATGTTTTTTCGCTCTTCGATTTTGTTTAGAGTGTCCCAAGTTCCTGTGTTGAGGCCGAAAACGGCGACAAGTACGATCCCAATCTTCAGGTTTAACTTGCCACAGGAGCGGAATACCCACATCTTTACCGCACTTAATCTCTAGAGACACTGTGGTCAGTGCAGTTTGAATTTGGAAAAGAATCTCCTGGACCCGATACTTTAGGTATCGCTGTTCCAGATCTTCCCTATTTTCGATTAATGGATATGTTAACGGAGAATTTATGAGAGGTGTTATGCCTGCTTCAGCCAATAGTGCTCTATAAGGATTGTTATTACGATGGGGACTCCAGGTGCAGTTTACGCAAGCACCATGTGCTTGCAAATGACTTTGGGACACCCAAACCTTTTGATGACAACCTCCACACTTGATTTTAATCCAAGCTCTATGATCTTGTAAACACACTAAACAATAATGAATAGGAGACAGAATTCGATTAAATAGTTTAACAAGTTCCCAAAACAAATGGAATTCTGCCTCTTCTTGGGTTGAATAGGATAGGCGAATTCCAAAACGCCTTTCAAGCGGTTCCAGCAACGGGCGTAGGATCAGCTGCAGACGATGACGGCGGCGGAGTTCTGGGCTGTTCATTCGTCTGTACAGCTCGAGTCCAACGAGCAGGGATCCACTTGGGTCCTGTTGGGGTAGAAACACAAACATAGCCCCTCCCCCAATAAAGTACTTGGGCTGGGGGTTGCCATAAACCTGTCGTTAGATCTTTATATCGTACATAGATAGGCGGCATAGGGGTTGGTTCCTTTTGAAAATGTTTGATGGCTGGGGGTAATTTTTCTTCCCCAAATATACAGAGATGGTTCAACACAAATAAAGCTCGTAATAGTTTTTCTGAGGGGGTCAGGAGGTCTGGGTATTTAGTAACATATGTTTTGAGAGTGTTGTTAGCCCTTTCTACTATTGCTTGGCCAGTTGGATTATGGGGGATACCCTTAGTATGTTTAATTCCCCAAAATAGCATATATTTTTGGAAACGTTCACTGATGTATGCTGGGCCATTGTCTGTTTTAACTTCTTTAGGGACTCCCATTATAGCTATACAGCTATTCAAATGTTTTTCTACATGCGTTGTCTTTTCACCTGTTTGAGCAGTTGCCCAAATGTAATGACTATACGTATCAATGGTAACATGAACATATTTTAACTTCCCAAAATGGGGTATATGAGTAACGTCCATTTGCCATATTTGATTTGAGTCTAATCCTTTGGGATTAACTCCCATGCTTAAGCCTACTCCCCCTTGAGGATAACTACAAACAGAACAGGTTTTAATGATAGCACGAGCTTCATGTATGGGAATATCAAATTCTTTAGCCAATCCTTTAGCATTTTGGTGGAAAATATTATGACTTTCCCTCGCAGCAATGCTGCGGGGAATTATTGTTGGTTGTTGTATAGCTACCAACTTATCGGCCCTTGCATTTCCTTCCCCTAGGCCCATATCCCACTTATGACTTCTAATATGGAGTATAGAATAGGGATAGGCCCTGGCATGTATCACCCTCTTAAGGGATAAAAAGAGTTCCCCAAGCCTAGGATTTGTAACATCCTTAATAGCAGCATCTTCAACACGAGAAGCTACTGTCACAACATATAAAGAATCAGAGATAACATTAAGAGGCTGTTGGAACGTGTGAAGGGTCCAGATAACAGCTAAAAGTTCAAGGGTTTGAAGATTGTCCTCAGGTGTGGCGTCGAGAATGTGATGACACCACGTATTTCCTTGTTTCCATGTAGCTGCTGCTCTCAAGGTCCTGTGTCCTGCATCAGTAAAAACTGTGATAGCATCTGTAATAGGTGATTCGCTCCTAAGAGGTTTGACAATCCATTGCCAATGACCGAGCCATGCTAAAGCGCTAGGTTTAACTTTTGACGTGAGTACCTTACAAGGAGCGCTCAGCAAGGCAAGGGCTAGGTCAGTATCATTGAGAAGAAACCAATCTAAGTCAGAATGTTCCATGGGCAAGTAAATAGTTTCAGGTTCTTTGCCACTAATTTCAATAGTCCGTAGTCGGCCTTTGCGTATCAGGGTTGCTAATCGTTCCAATTTCTTTGTAATTGATTTTCGCTGCTGTAATTGTGGAGTTAACCATTCAATAACTAAGGTTTCCTGGGCCTTGTCCCCCGCGTTCGTTATTTGGATAATTGCTGCTAGAAGATGGTCCGCCGTGTTCCATATAACCAGATCTAAAGGGAGGACTGGATCACGGCGAGAGACAAAACCAGTTGTAACACAATGCATAATGTCTTGAAAAGCTTGTAATTGTGTTGGAGACAATGTTACAGGTGTAGCCGGGTCAGTGCCCTTAAGTAAAGGGCGTAAAGTATCAAGAAGGTCATTAGGGATTCCTGTTACCGGTTTAAGCCACTGTAAATCTCCCATTAATCGTTGGACTTCATATAAATTGGTTGGAATATTAGCAACCAACATTTTTTGTGGACGTATAACCCTATCGGTGATAATCCATCCCAAATATTTCCAAGGGGCAGTAGATTGAAGTTTTTGTTCAGATACCTTTAGTCCCTGGCGATATAACAGTATTATAATCATTTGAAGTTGTTCAGTAGAAAAGGGGTATTTCTGAGCAAATAGTAAATCGTCCATATAGTGATATATAATAACGTCAGGCAAATTTTTTCGTATTGGCTGTAAGGCAGCGTCCACAAACAGCTGGCAGAGGGTGGGGGAATTGCGCATACCTTGTGGAAGCACTTTCCATTCAAACCTTTTATCAGGTTCTCCTCTATTTTGGGCAGGTAAGGTGAATGCAAAGCGTTTGGTATCCTGAGGATGTAAAGGAATTGTGAAAAAACAGTCCTTTAAATCAATAACCAAAAGGGACCAATCTCGTGGTATCATAGCTGGGTTTGGGAGGCCGGGCTGTAAAGCCCCCATAGGTTCCATTTGAGAATTAATTGCGCGCAGATCATGTAATAAACGATAGGATCCAGACTTTTTCTTTATCACAAAAATGGGGGTATTCCACGGACTGACGGATGGCGTCAAGTGGCCAAGTTGTAACTGTTCGGCCACTAATTTATGCGCCTGTAAGAGGCTTTCCCCTTTTAATGGCCATTGCTTAACGACCACAGGTGTATTAGTGGTCCATGTAAGAGGTATCGGGAAAGCCCAAGCAATGGCCGTTATGCTAAAGGGGAGTCTGTTAATTTAAGTCCCAATTGTGCTAACACATCACGACCCAAAATGCAATCAACTTCATCAGGGAGTAGAGTAAGGGAGAAGGGGGCGGAAGCCTGTTTCCCCTCCAAAAGGACGGTTAACACTGGTGTCTGTCGTGCAAGTCGAATCCCTCCTATTCCTGTTATAGCATTATTAATTGAAATTGTGGGCCATGAATCAGGGTATAATTTAGAGTCTATAATACAAGAATCAGCGCCTGTGTCAAGAAGAGCTTTTGACAGGGATAGGGTACGGCCTTGCCATAGGATTGTACAACAACGTTTTGGTCTTTCCGAAAGGTTGAGGCTTAGCATAGTAATTTTTCCTGTAGATCCTAATTGTCCTTGTCGTTTAGGTAAATTTCGTGGTGATACTGGTGTGGTAGAGAGGAGAGGAATAAATTGAGCAATCTTTTCGCCTTTTGGGACAGTCAATGGAGGGAAATTGGTACGAGCAAGGATAAAAATTTCTCCAGTGGAATCAGGATCTATCACACCAGGGTCGATGTAGAGACCGTGTAAGGTAGCTGAGGAACGGCCCAATATTATACCTCCCACCGGCCGATTATTAATCAAAATGGGACCTTGAATGCCTGTAGGGACGGCGTGGATATCTGTATTGTAGAAGGTAACATCTACAGCTGTTGCCAGGTCATATCCGAGGCTACCGCTTGTTGCAGGGACGAGGTTGTTGCAGGTTGGGCGGCTATTTGTGTCTTGGCGCGGCTCATCCTCGCGCTGGCCGGGGGGTTTCCCTGGTTATGTCGCCTACGGCAGGCGTTGGTATTATGACTGGATGATTGACACGGTCCGCACCAAACACCAGGGGCCTGGCATTCGCGACGAGTGTGGCCGGGTCTCCCGCATCGATAACATTTTATGCGGGTGGTTGGGGTTAGAGAACGAGTTTGCGCAAGTGCCGCCTGGAGGGGTGCAAGGGCTGTGCCAAGACCTTCACTAATTTTATTGAGAGCTTCTACTACAAAAATTTGATTACCTGAGGGGAGCGTGTTTGCCTTGTCCAACAAATCTTGAATCACCCAATTACCCGGAGCAGTTGTTATAAGGGAGCGTGTTACCTGATTGCCATTTTGTATGATGCATTGTTTCAGGAGAGCATCCTGCATGTGATCTGCTACTCCTGCTTTAGAAAGGGCTTGCATTAACTTATCAACAAATGACCCAAGGGATTCCTCTCTTCCTTGTTTAATATTCATATACATAGGGGGTCCTCCAGGCTCTCGGACTTTGTCCATCGCTCGCTTCGCCACCCTCATTGCTTCCCTTAATTTCTCTGCCCCTATGCCTGCCTGGGCATCTGTTCGAGTATAATCACCATTCCCTAGTAGTTCATTCATTGTTATTCCAAAGAGGGGGTCTCCTTGAATACGGGGTAAAGCTACTGAAGCAGCAGCTTCTTCCCCCCATCGGGCATCAAATGTAAGTTTTTGGTGAGGGGTATAGATTAGACGAGCGATACCCTTAATGTCTACAGGCAAGAGAATCATCGAATTAAATAAGTAATCAAGCATCTGTTTGGCCGGTTCACTGGTGACACCGAATTGAGCGACTGTGGCACGAAGTTGAGCCAATAATTTCCAATCAATTTGAGTAATCTCCGCCCTATAACCGCCGCCAGGCCGAGGGTGAAAAATAACAGGAAAAGCCATGGAAGTAGTAACATGGTCTTGTGCCGCATCGGCAAGGACCCTATCTCCGCTTTCGACTCCGTGGCGTGCCAAAGCAGCCCAAGCTTCCCGTCTCTGACTTGCCATAGCCTCCGCGAGGTCCGAAAGGGCTCCGGGGAACGGCTCCGTGGCATTGAGAGACAAGGGAAGGGAGTTTTGAGGAGACTCAGGCGGTCCGTTTTCAGGAACGGGGGCAGACGGAGGAGACGGGGGAGAGGGGGGTGGGGGGGGGAGAGGAGGAGGCGGAGGAGGAGGGGGGGGTATCTCGATTGACGAGACGGTCGGCGGATTAGGGGCAGAGGGATCGTAGTGACGATTTAGATCTTGTGCCAAACGGGCACTTTCGGCCGCACGTTTCTCCGCCTGTACCATTAAGAGTTCGTTATGTATCAAACGCCATAATTTGGATAACTTTTTAGCAGTTTTATCATCATCTAATGTAAGATCCCATAATTTATCACCGTAGCGACGCCATTCCGATAACTGGTGGACTGAATGGGGATCATCAAAAATACCGAGAGACCGAGCGTGGGAAAGAAGGGAAGGGAGGTCCTTATCTAAATCTAAGCCTTTTAACCCCCGACGACGGAGGAAGGCAGTAAAAAGATCATACGCCGCTTGCCTGTCCATATTTACCGGTTCCGTTGCACCCTCCAGGCGTCGGCAGCGCGTAGCAGCAGAGCCAGCCGATGCTGCACTCCGGGCCAAAGCAGGAAGCAAGCAGCACACCGATGTGTCACTGCTGTCCCACAGAAGCCGTCTTTAAGTCGAGACCTGCACCCAACGCAACTCCTTTGGGTCCTTGTTCCGGTTGGTCCCAAGTCCCTGTTCGGGCGCCAATATGTTGGTGACCCCGGGAGTCGCGGGAGACAAGCCTCATGCTATCATGGTCAGCAAGTCTCGTTTATTTAGCGTGATACACTCATTTTTATAGCCCGCGGTGTTAGGTACATTGTCTGCCAGGATACAGCAAAATCATTGGTTAATCGGTATTGACGCAGGGGTCTCTAGGTAACTGTAACCACTTCTTGTTTCAACTTATTTTGACATATCCCAGCTTGCTCAAGCATTATCATTGCGCTTATCTCAACAAGATGTACATCCTGTTTCTTGAGCAACTCAGAATAAGCATCAACCACAAGATAATTGCGGCCTTGAGGCGCAGCCCTGAGGCCTATCTTTCCACCAGCTGCACAGTATCATGACCCCTGTTACTTAGCCATTCTGCTGTTAAGCTCTCTACAAATTGTGATGGTTCTTCTGATATGAAGATTCCTATTGCATTATATTTTGGTCTTTTTTTAACTTGAGGCAATGTTCTTCTAGAAGTTACTGTAAAACTGGTCATCCCACTGGCTTTCTTGGAAACTTTCTGGTAATCTCTTCACTGTGTTAAGAGAGTAGGACCTACGCAAAACATTTGAAGTGTTGGTGAACCTTATAATTCTGCAAACATGAATTAGATTCATTTTCTTGTGCAGTCTCTTCACCTTTTTGATTGGCACTGAGAACTTAGCTGACATAATTGGCATATCACAAGTTCTTGATGCCAAGGGTGTAATTTCAGAACCTGACATTACCTTTCCAGAGTCAATCACTGTTCTGGTGAAGCTGCATTTTGACTCATCTGCTCAGCTTTGTGGTGTCCTACCTGGAAAACCTTTTGCCATTTTCCCACCTAGGTCTTCAGGGTCGACTCTTCATGTGTTCTTCCGAGCAGAGCTGTGATTTAACTCTGCAGACTAATAGCTCCTGTTACCCTTGTTACATCAGTCTCCATGACTTTTTTTTTTTTTTTGAGAACCTTTGATGATCTATTAAATGGCACAGTTCTGACAAAGATGTCTGCAGGACTGCTGTGTTGACCTTAGTATTTTGTTCAAGTGACCAGGTTTGATTTTTCTGCCATCTGCTATCATGACTTGCGTGCCTCTTCCAGCCTTGTCTCATTCTGTGTATTTTCAGTTGTGTACCTTTTCCTGTTTTACAGGTACGGCAGCTTTTTTAGTTCTGGCTGCTTTACAGTGCTGGTTTCCAGTCTTTTCTTAATCAGAAGTCTTTCCTCCCTTTTGATTCTCCTCTGAATGAGAGATGGTGCAGGGTGACCACAGTTGGACCACAGAACTCCACATTGCTCTCTGTTCAGCTTGCATGTCGCAGTTTGTAAAGTACTACAGAGTTATTATGGTCATGGGCAAGACAGTAGAAGCATTTAATGTTGCTCTTTTTGAAGTATGATGTAAATGCACTTTCTAATATAAAATGCTTGTTGATAGAAGAGCATGAACTGAGGTAGGTGTGAAAAAAATGCAGCTATAGTGCTGTGTTAGACAACATGTATTGCTAGAGGGCTTGGTTTGGGTGGGTAGAACTGTAGAAGCACCTCAGCTGTGGTTCCTGAATGCGCTAGTTCCATGTAATCTGCAGTGGTAGGCTTTGAATACCCCATAAAATAAACTTGCATCTTGTTGGTGAGCTCCTTATGATGATCATGTGAATATGAACTGGGATGACACTTGAAACTCCTGGTACCCCCATAGGCTGCATGGTTTAGCTTGTCCTCCTCAGAAGATGTAATTGTATGTGAAAGCCATGCTGCCAGATAGTGTCTCTGATTTCAGAATTTGTGTGCTTTGCTATCACTGTGGTTCACTGTCTTGTAACCTCTCAAGATGAACTTTATCTCAAGAAAATGATGTGAGGCTTCAGGTTTCATTTCTGTATCTGCCTTCATGGCAGTGGGTATAGGAATGCTGGCAATAAAGCAGGGATTTCAGAGTCTTGACAAAAACTTTGTTTTTCTAGCCCTGCTCTCCTGACATCATTAACAATGATCCTTGAACTCGGCCCTGATAATGAAGAGATGGAAATAAATCAAGACAACTGTTAGAATAACAATAGTGTAATTAAAGATGACTTATTGACAGACCTAGTTTGATTGTTTTAGCATTTGGTATCTTCATTTGGTTTTGACCTCATTTTGCATCATTTTGCTTCTGTGGTGGAACCAGCAGCTACCATGTGAAATCCATCTTGTATTGCTGCCTGGCCTGTGTGGCGGGTTAGCAGCCAGGGTCTGTGTTTACATCAGTGGGTAAGGGGAGCCTGGAAACACGGTGTAAGACAAACTGAACCTTGCCAGAGCACTGATATGACCCTTTTGTGTAGTGTTGTTACATCACGGGTAGATGGCTGTACTCTATACCCTGTAGCAGCTCATCTCAATCAGTAATGGACGCATTTTCTCACTGTGCTCTGAGAGCCTGTCTGCCAAAAAAGGTAAGAAATCTTGTCATTCACTGTGCACCTACAAGTGGGGAATTAAACTTACAGGAAATACATCACTGGGACACATAGACTATTAGAGATGCTCCCTGAGCTATTTCACCCTTCCAAGAGGATTTGTGCTATGTGGATTGTGCTTAGATTGACATATAGATTTAGGGAGTCACTGATGGAGTTGAAAGCCTTTGGAATTTGTATGCATCCATGGTTTATGTTTGACCTATACTTCAAAAGGCAAAACCATTGTTAGTTATTTGTAATATGATGGCTGTATACTATTATTTACTGTATGAAAACCAAGGGGAGTTGTACAGCTACATCAGTGTTACAAAGCCATGAAAAAGGAAGCAATTTCTGCTTGCTTTTAGCATTGCTGCACTAGACAAAAATAAATTCCATGTGAATCTATGTCTTCTGGAGACCTGAGTAATTGCCACAGATGGAAGATCAAGGATAGTTTTCTGGAGAGGAAACAGCTGAACTTTATTCACAAAGAGAAATAAATGAAGAAACAGTTGTACTTCATCAGCAAAGTGTAGAGGAGACAAAGCCAGAAGATCAGAAGTGGAGTAGGCTCTTTTCGATGACCTTCCCAGGTGTTTCCTGGGTTAATGTAGGTGTTTAAGGAAACATTTTGACAGGTATCTATCAGTTAAAATGCCTTTAGGAAAAGAGAGACGAGCGAAGAGAGGACGAGAAGAGGAAACGAGAGGAGAAAAGAACAGGGATGAGGACAAGAGAGGAAACCGCCACTTTTGTTTTCGAAGAAGGGAAACTGTGAAGGGAAAGCGCTGAGTTTGGTGGCCTAGCTGGTGAGCCAAGGGCCCGTCCTTCCAGGAACACAGCGCGGCGGCCAGAGCCGGCCACTCGCGGAAGCAGACGCGGTCGGACACCAGGTGCCGCTGTTGGCCGTGAAGACGCTGGAAGCCTGCGAGAGGCGACAGCTCCTCCCTGAACCGGTGTAACGTCTGCCGTCAGCGCTGAGGGAGGCAGGATGAGGCTGATCGAGAGGAGTGGCGGCCCGGGTCTGCCGGGGAATCCCTAAGGCGAGCGACCGAGCGGCGGCTGAGAACCGTGCGGGCCCGGACCGGTGCGAGGCGATGGGCGTGTGTGTTGGTGCCTTGTTGGTACTGGTGCTGCAGCTGGCCTGGGTGCTGGTCGGCGGGCAGGTGCGGTACTCGGTGCCGGAGGAAGCCAAGGCCGGCACGGTGGTGGGCCGGCTGGCGCAGGACCTGGGCCTGGAGGCGAGTGAGCCGGAGGCGCGGCGGCTGCGGCTGGTGTCGCAGGGCCGGCGGGCGAGCGTGGAGGTGAGCGGGGCGAGCGGGGCGCTGGTGGTGAGCTCGCGGCTGGACCGGGAGGAGCTGTGTGGGAAGAGCGCGCCGTGCTCCCTGCGGCTGGAGGTGCTGGTGGAGCGGCCGCTGCGCGTCTTCCACGTGGAACTGGAGGTCACCGACATCAACGACAATGCCCCGGTCTTCAGTGTAAAAGAGGAAGCCCATAATATCGCGGAATCGTCGCTGCCGGGGTCTCGTTTCCCACTGGAGGGCGCGTCGGATGCAGATGTCGGAGCCAACGCACAGCTCTCCTATAGCCTCAGCCCCAGCGAGCACTTTGGTTTGGATATACAAAAAACGGAGGAAGAGGGCGAGTCGTTATTCCTGGTGCTCAGGAAGTCTCTGGACCGCGAGACGATGCCGATTCACCATCTTGTGCTGACGGCGACTGACGGGGGCCGTCCGCCACTGACGAGCACAGTGGAGCTGGTGATCTCTGTGCTGGATGCGAACGACAACGCTCCCCAGTTCAACCAGTCTGTGTATAAAGTGAAAGTCTTAGAGAGTTCAGAACCAGGAACTCTATTAATCACGCTCAGTGCCACGGATTTGGACGAAGGCATTAGTAGTGATGTTATGTATTTATTTAGTAAGCATGTCACCACAGAAGTTAAAGAAATGTTCTCCATTGACGAAAACAAAGGAGAAATGAGGCTTCGGGGAAATTTAGACTACGAAGAAAAGGATAGTTACGAGATCGCAATAGAAGCAAGAGACAAAGGCTTCCCGCCGCTGTCGGGTCACTGCAGATTGGTGGTGGAGGTGCTGGACGTGAACGACAACGCGCCGGAGGTGTGGGTGACGTCGCTGTCGGTGCCGGTGCCAGAGGACGCGGCTGTGGGGACGGTGGTGGCTCTGCTGAGCGTGTCGGATCGGGACTCGGGGGCGAATGGGCGCGTGCGCTGCACGGTGTGGCCGTCGGCGCCGTTCGATCTGGTGTCGACGTTCGCGGGCTCGCACTCTCTGGTGCTGCGGGAGGCGCTGGACAGGGAGCGGGTGTCTGAATACGATGTGGAGGTGCGGGCGGAGGACGGCGGATCGCCGCCGCTGCGCGCCAGCCGGGGTCTGCGTGTGCCGGTGTCGGACGTGAATGACAACGCGCCGGCGTTCGCACAGGCCGTGTACACGGTGCTGGCGCGGGAGAACAACGCGGCGGGCGCGGAGCTGGCGCGGCTGTGGGCGCGGGACCCGGACGAGGCGGGCAACGGGCGCGTGAGCTACTCGGTGGCGGAGAGCGGCGGCAGGGCCGCGGTGTCGGGCGTCGGGTGGCGTCCGGCGTCGAGCTACGTGTCGGTGGACGCGGAGAGCGGTCGGCTGTGGGCGCTGCAGCCGCTGGACTACGAGGAGCTGCAGGTGCTGCAGTTCGAGGTGCGGGCGGTGGACGCGGGGGAGCCGGCGCTGTGCGGCAACGCCACGGTGCAGCTCTTCGTGCTGGACGAGAACGACAACGCGCCGGTGCTGCTGCCGCCTGCCGGGGGCGGGCCGGGCGCCAAGGCCGCGGGCTCGGCGGCGTCGGGTGCGGACTCTTTGGCGCTGTGGGCGTGGGCGACGTGGGGGGCGCCGGCGGGGCAGGTGTTGGCGAAGATCCGCGCGGTGGACGCGGACTCGGGCTACAACGCGTGGCTGCGCTACGAGCTGTGGGAGCCGCGGGGCAAGGGCCCGTTCCGCGTGGGGCTTTACAGCGGCGAGGTGAGCACGGCGCGGGCGCTGGAGGAGGCGGACGGCCCTCGGCAGCGCCTGGTGATCGTGGTGCGGGACCACGGCGAGCCTGCGCGCTCGGCCACGGCCACGCTGAGCGTGTCGCTGGTGGGAAGGGACGAGACGGCGCTGGCTGCCTCTGTCTCCGGTTCTGCGAAGGCGGGGCTCCGGCCGGCAGAAGGCGGTGTATTGGCTGCGGCATCTGCGGCGACGACAACGAACGTGTGGCTGGTGGTGGCTATCTGCGTGGTGTCGAGCTTGTTCTTGCTGGCGGTGGTGCTGTATGGGGCGGCGCGGTGGGCTCCACGGTCGGCCGTGCTGTCGGGTCCCGGTCCTGCCACGCTCGTGTGCGCCAGCGAAGTGGGGAGCTGGTCGTACTCGCAGCGCCAGAGCCGGAGCCTGTGCGTGGCGGATGGTGCGGGCAAGAGCGACCTGATGGTTTTCAGCCCCAACTTTCCGCCGCCGCCTCCGGGTCCCGGAGCAGAGAACGGTTCTGCTGGGAAGGGGCCGTCTCTCTCCCCTTTTGCTTCAGGTGTGGTAAGTGTATTCGCAAATTGTTACATTTTTCAGCCTCTCTCTTGGATTGTTGTGTTTATACATCACTTTTATCGGATAATTGAGGTATTGTGAAATAGGAACTCGCTCCTCTAAATAAGGTAACAAGGTTTTATTGAGGGACGAAGCGAATAAAGCAAAAGAAACAGCGCTGGGCGCATGACTTTAGCCAGAGGCGGAAGTGATCAGCATTTGTAACAGGTTTATATACTTTCACTATTACATTAGTTACATATATATTCATAATTCCCGCATATAGGTGGGGGATATTATAACTAGCTTCAAGAATTTATTTAAGTCTCCTCTCAGCGTCTGTGCACTGCTCTGTGGTGATTGTGGGCAGGGGTCTTAAGGATGAAGTAAACAGTCTTCTCTTGTGAGTAGGGGTCTTCAAGATGAAGTAAGCAGTCTTCCTCAGTGTACTTTTCACCTTTGGCACAGTTGGACCCCAGTAATCACACAACAAGCTGTATAACTGTTCTGATAACTAGCAAAGATTTAAGTGTGACCTTCCTGCAAAATTGCAGGATGGGCAGACAAGGAGTATCCCAAGCTATCAGGTGCTTGGGAGGCTCTGTCTCTAACTGGTAAGTGGATGGTGAATTCATGTTTAGTGGGGCCACTAAATCCTGTTACTACAGACAAACATTGCTCTTTGAAACTAGACTAGTGTGAAACAACTCATGTTTAGTGGGGCCACTACATTCCACAGACTTACAACATAAACATTGGTCTCTTTCTACAACCTGTTCAGCTAAAAAGTACTTTATGTTTTCCAGGCACCAGCTTTCCTTATATCAAGCTTCACCCCCCACCCCACCCCCCTTTCTTTTACCTTTACAAATTCTTTTGCTATGTGACTCCATTTTGATCAAGAGATCTGAACCTTTTTAACTTGTTGTCTGGTCTTGTGTCTAGCGTGTTTTGTTTCTGTTATTATAAACTCGTACGGTTATATCCACATAACCACACCTATGATTTGCGAAAGCCAATACATTTATGTGTTTATCGCAGGTATCAAAGCACTTTTTCTGTGGAAGTATTTTTGCACCGTGAGTTTTAGGCTTTTTTTGTTGTTGATTTAGCCATAGTTATCCTATCCTCTTTAGAGGTGTGTGTTTCCCTTTTGAAATTTCGCTGTTTGGCTAGCTGATCGCTATAATTTCGGGTGCATTTCATTTCTCTTGTGTAGGAGATTGTTTACTCATATTTTTATGGTGCTAGTTTGTGTTTTTTCCCCACTACCTGGCATCAAATGACAGTGTTGGCTTTAGCAGATCTTTCATTTCCCTTTTTTAGTGTCTTTCAACACGTGGGATGTGCCCAGGTGTTCGGTTGCTCCCTCAAGCTGACTGCAATTAGAGCAGTAGTTATTTTGGAAACTAGGTGTGTTTACTCTTGGTTTGATAAATACTGTGTTCGGCTGCACAACGGTTCCCTCGTGTTTTTATTGCTTCAGAAGTTGGCTGGTTCATGTTTTGTACCAATTTTAAGAAGCTGAATTATATCAATAGTTATGGTGTGCCGGGAGGATCAGAAATTTTGGTGAAGGTTCTGAGTACTCGTTTCTGGAAGTCCGTTTGAAGTGTGAAGGAAGTGGAGCGAGATGCAGAATTCTGCGGAGAGCTGTTTGAGGAGGGGATGCCCACCGTGTTTGTGTTGTTCTGGCATCTGTTCTACCCCATCTGTCCCTTAATGTGCTGTGGAGAGGAGAGTTGAAAGCTGATGGAAGTAGAGAAAGGGGGGAGGTGTGGTTAAGGGAAAAGTGAAAGCAGAGATCATCTATATACCGAGTAGGCTGGAGATGGTGGGTAGAAAATGTTTGCTTCTTCCAGCAGAAGAAGCAGGGAAACAGATTCAGCAAAAAAAGAATTTTTCTGTACTGGTTTCCACATTGATTTCTCTCTGTGATTGTTTAATTACCGTTATATTGTTATATATTGTTTTAATACCGTTATAGAAGGAGCTCATCCTGGCCATGCACTGAATCTTTTAAATGTCCAGGGTCATGTTTAGTGTTCCTTGTTCGATGTTAGGAACTGGATAGAATGCACGGGGAAAAGCGATATATCTGATTTAGTTTTCGTTATAAAACCAATGCCTGTAGCGCTGATGGAGTAGTAAGAACAAGCAGTACTTGTGTATTATTCATGTCACGTGCTCAATTCACCAAGGACACCTGTTCAGGAAACTACTGTAGTTTTATGGCAACGTGATTTCTGTAATGCAATATATTTCCTTTGTGAATGTATATTTTGTTGGAGTTGTACTAATAGAAGTGTTTTAGATGAAAGATGACTAAAACTTGTAGATAGTTTCCAAGATAAGGATGGTGCTAATGGGTGTACAGCACAGGCTGTGATCTGCTCGGCTGGGGAGCAACTCTGGAAAGAGATCTGGGAGTCCTGGTGGACACAGGCTCAATAGGAGTGAACAGTGTGCAGCTGCAGCAAAGGAAGTCAACAGGATGTTGGGGAACACCAACAGGGGCACCACCAGCATAGATAGTCATCTCACTCAGTGCTTGTCAGGCCACACCTGGAAAACTGTTTTGATCCCTGCTATATGAAAAAGATGTGATCAGGTTGGCAAGAGTCCAGAAAAGGGTCACAGATTATACAAGGACTGAGAAGCCATATGAGGAAAGGCTGAGAGAGCTGGGCTTGTTCAGCTTTGAGAAAAGAAGGCTCAGGGAGACTTTATCACCATGTTCCAGTATTTAAAGAGTGGGCACAAAGAAGATGTACACCCCCTTTTTACAAGGAGTCACATGGAAAAGATGAGGGGTATTGGGACAAGTTGCTGCCGGGGAGATTCAGGTTGGACACTAGAGGAAAAGTTTGCACAATAAGAACAATCCATTGGAATAATCTTACCAGGGAAGTGGTGGATTCCCCAGTGTTGAAACAAGATTCGGTTGGACAGGCTGCTAGGTCATCTAGTTATGTTTTGCAAAGGCAGGCTGGACCAGATGAACCTTGAGGTCTCTTCCAACCTGATTGTGATTGTGTCCGTCTTGGAAAAAATCATAGGAGTGGGTTATTTCCCGCTCATCCACAGAAAAACGTGAGCATGTCCTACAAATTTCTTTCTGTTCTGTGTCTACTTTAGATCGCTTTACGTTTTTGTGTGTTTGCTGGGGATTGTTTTTCTAGTCTCCATTGACAACGTCCGATTGCTCGTGCTTAAAGGGGAGTGAGTCATGGCCTCTTCAGTATGCGCGAGCTATCTTCCCTTGGGAGCAGCAAGGCTTATCCCAGAGTTGTAGAGCTGTCGCTTTCTTCCCTTAGTTCACATGGATGGCATGGAAGGCAGGAACAGCAAAGCGCGAATCTGGTTCCATTTATAAGAAGGTTTAACTAATCCTGTAGCAGTCGATCGAAAAACACGGGTGTGAGAAGCACCTCGTTTCCTTGGACGATGAAGAATCTCTTAATGCTGATCGTTGGGGCAGTAGAGGCTTTGGATTCCGTATGTTTCTTGGTTTCTATGACTGCAGTAAAGATCTGAAAGGGATTTGCTATACACTGTCAGGAAATATTTCTGTATTTCAGAAACAAAGCGACTTTAGAAACAGCTCGTGGATGCTTTTACTGCTTAGCATGGTCTGGGCGGGAATCAGCAGAACGCGCTAGAATATTGTCAGTGCCTTGAATAGAAGATATCGTTCGCGCAGTTTTTGGTCTTTGAAAGCCCAGGCTCTCATCTCACCGCATGTTGGTTTGGTGGATGACGCTGGTGAGCAGCGCTGCTGTCGGCATAACGTGCTGGACAGCGCTTCCGCGGGAGCTGCGGAAGCAGAGCGGCGGTTACAGCGCCCACCCCAACCGAGGTGGCCGGAGGCTGTGTTGCAGCCTGCAACTGGGGATTTTGCAGGCAGGGGAAGGCTCAGTGGAGTTGCTGGAGATGCCGGGTGCTCGGCTCAGAGCTGCTCCGCAGCCCGAGCGAGTCTGGTCCACCGAGCCCGCTGTCTCTGCTGTCGTGCCCCCCAGCAGCTTCCTCAAAGTCACTGAGGGTGAATCGACCGATGTCCTCGCGGTCAAGAGACGAGTTCTTGCCTGCAACATAATAGCACGTTCTGGGTCCATATTTCTGTGGCTTGATGTGGGTAATGATTTTCCTGGGCGCTGAAATCTAGAAATCCTCTGTAGACGAGATAGTTCTCCCGGGCTCCTTTTAGTCATTTTGTCTTCCAGTACGTAGGAGCTGCGAGCTCCTGTGACTTGAAGGGTATCCTGACATTGCTGCCCGCTCTGCCAGCCCCCGCGGAGGCAGGCAGGCGACAGAGATTTTGGAGCAATAGCGGAGCTGCTCCGTTCCCACGGGTAACGGCTCCCACGGCAGGCACTGCGGTCTGCCTGCCAGGCGGGACCCTGGGTGGGAAGAGCGCGGTGTTTCGGGCTGCTTGGGGTACCGCCGTCCCTGCTCTCCTCCCC